TATTGGTGTCCCTCCAAAATTCATATGCTAGAACCTAATATCCAATATGATAGCACTAAGAGGTGGGGTCTTTTGGGAAGTAAGTCATAAGGACTCTGCCGTCATGAACAGGATTAGTACCCTTACTGAAGAGGTTGAAAGGAGCTGCCTTGTCCCCTTCTGCCATGTGAAGATGCAGCAAGAAGGTGCCATCTATAAGGAACAGGCCCTCATCAGACACAGAATGTACTGTTGCTTTCATCTTGGATTTCTCAGCCTCCAGAACTGTAAAAAATAAATTTTTGGTGTTTATAAATTACTCAGTGTAATGTATTTTGTTATAGCAGCCCAAACAGTTTCTAAAATAAAAATAATGTAAAGAGAGAGGAGGATTTGGTGAATTAAAAATGGGTGATTAAAAAATTTTTTTTTTAACTCGAGACATTCTGATTTTTTTTTTTTTTTTGAGACGGAGTTTCGCTCTTGTTACCCAGGCTGGAGTGCAATGGCATGATCTCAGCTCACTGCAACCTCCACCTCCTGGGTTCAGGCAATTCTCCTGCCTCAGCCTCCTGAGTAGCTGGGATTACAGGCACGCACCACTGTGCCCAGCTAATTTTTTGTATTTTTTTTAGTAGAGACAGGGTTTCATCATGTTGACCAGGATGGTCTTGATCTCTTGACCTCGTGATCCACCTGCCTCGCCCTCCCAAAGTGCTGGGATTACAGGCGTGAGCCACCGCGCCCGGCCTCTGATTTTTTTTTTGGAGTGCAGCAGCATGATCATGGCTCATGGGGCTTAAGTGATCCTCCTACTGCAGACTCCCAAATAATTTTGAATGCAGGTGTGTGCCACCATGCCCCCCTTATTTTTGTATTTTTAGTAGAGATGGGGTTTCCCCATGTTACCCAGGCTGGTCTTGAACTCCTGGGCTCAGGCAATCTGCCCACCTTGGCTTCCCAAAGTGCTGGAATTACAGGTGTGAGCCATTGCACCTGTTCTAAAAATTTTAATAATAAAAATAAATTTAAAAAACACCATAAAGAATGCATAAAAGTATACATAAGTATTTTATTAATATGTATTGCCCTTTATGAAGTGAAACAGTGGAACAGACTCCTGAGACAGACTTGTTCTCCAGATCTTTAAGGTAAAGCATAGGCCAGTGTAAGTATAACGAGTATGTTCTGTGACCTCGCCATTGGCTAATGAGCAAAGTGCATCATGTTTACACAGTTTTACAGACTGGCCCAATCTACTTTCTTACCAAGCAGTCTTGCCTTTTCCTGTGTCTCCCTAATCTTGCTAACCTCTGATTCAACCACTATCACTATGCTACCTAGAATTTGCTGTCTCCTTCATTTCTTTTCTTTTTCATTTTTAGATAGGGTTTCACTCTGCTGCTTAAGTTGGAGGACAGTAGCTGCATTATGGCTCTCTGCAGCCTCAACCTCCCTGGCTCAAGGTATCTAACTGCCTCAGCCTCCAAGTAGCTGGTACTACAGGTGCATGACACCATGCCTGGCTAATTTTTTTTTTTTTGGTAGTGATGGGGTTTTACCATTTTGCCCAGGCTAGTCTTAAACTCCTGGACTTAAGCAATCTTCCTAACTCAGCCTCCCAAAGTGCTGAAATTACACATGTGAGCCACTGGGTCTGGCCCCATTACCTTTCTTAACCCCTATCTTCAAATCACATTTTTTTCTGCCTCTCTATTCTTTTATTATTATTATTAACCTCTGTGAGCACAGAACATGCCTCTCCATTCTCATTGCTACAAATCAGAAACTCATACCTGAACTTCTGCTGGCCTTTTTATCTTCAGTTTCTACCCCCATTAAATATTAATGTCAGTGCCAGGTGCAATGGCTCACATCTGTAATCTCAGCACTTTGGGAGGCTGATGTGGGCAGATCACCTGAGTTTGGGAATTCGAGACCAGCCCGGCCAATACAGTGAAATCCCGTCTCTACTAAAAATACAAAAATTAACCATTCATGGTGGTGCATATCTGTAATTACAGCTACTCAGAAGGCTGAGGCAGGAGAATCACTTGAATCCAGAGGTGGAGGCTGCAGTGAGCCAAGATCACACTACTGGACTCCAGCCTGGGCAACAGAGGGAGACTCCATCTTAAAAAAAAAAAAGTCAGTTCATTTTCCTAAAGTGTATTTTCACTTCCTCTCAAGCACTGATTTAAGTCTTATCTTTTTTGTAAAACCTTCTAAGATTCTAACTCATATCCATCTTTCCCTTCCTTAAACACTTAAAAGTATACACAGCTCAATCTTTCTAATCATAAAAAAATGGCAGCGAACAAAACATTGTATTGGAATAAGCTTTATGACTTAACAAAAAAGGTTTTTTATGGTGTAGTCTATGTCCTTAAATAATGCTGAGTACTTATTATGTATAAGACTCTTCAAGTATTACTTTTAGTTCCTCAACAACTAGATGTACTTTTGTGTAGTCTTCTCCATTTTACAGATGGGGACACAGGTACAGAAGGTTAAGTGTGCTCAAAGTTACACAAATCAAAATCCAGACAGTTCTTGAGTCAGTGTTCTTAATAATGATCCTAAACTGCTTCTCAAGAAACAAATCACTTATATCTGATATTTTCCATCCCTTAAAAAATAGAGTTAAATCTACCCATCTTTATTACCCTAAATGAAAAGTAAAGCACTTTGTAATTTACAGTTTAAATGAAGACTATCATTTACCTTTATTTATAATCTGGAATATTCATTTTTTCCATGCAATAATTATTTCATTTTTATAAGTAAAGGTTTTTAACTATTCAGGAATTTCCTTGTAAGTAGAGACACATGATGTACTTATGTACTTTCTGCTTAGAACCCTAGCTGGATCTATTCAATATATTACTGATTGGTGGACACCCTTGCAACTTGTAGGGAAGTAAAGCATAAAAGTATAAAAAGAAATAAAAGTTCCTATAATATAAAGTTAAGAATACTATTTTAAAAATTGCTATTGTGATAGTTTTCCATAAACTATTCAGATAAGGGCAAATTCACCTTCCTCAGATTCTACTAGAAGTCTGATCCTTTAGGTTAATGCATTCTGCTCAAGATTTAGATTCAGAACTAACGGAATAAAATTATCTATTTCAAGCATACTTTGGTCGATACTTTATCAGTGATATAATATCATTTAAATGAGCATTACCTTGAGAGATTTTGACTTAAGGGGAAAGTTTCACTGTAACTCTTAATTTTTTAGTAGTCACATGTTTATATGTATCAGTTTTTCCTTGGTGGAGCTTTAATGTAATTCTCCTTTATGAGATGCTAAGCTCTCTGCATTCATGTAGTCCCAGGGGAATATGGCTAATATAGATAAATCATATATATAATGTTTGCATCCAGATGTAATTCATTTTTTGTCTTAATAAATGGACTTTTCTTTATCCATAGGCTTTCTTGCAACATCTGTGATCCTTACAGACTACAGAAAATACAGCAGCTTTAAGACACATGTAAAAAGACAAAGATATTTTGTGATGCTCCATAAACACTGTACATCTGCTATTTATCTGGCATATTAATTTAATGAAAGCTACACAAGGCCATAGACTTATAATGTATTAATGATGAAAGCAATTTCATAAGTCACCATATAATGTTAAACATTTTCAAAACATAAGCACACCCTAAGGGATGAAAAAGCTGTAGGGAGTATTCATTTTTATAAGATCACACAGCGTTTCGTGTTTTCTTTTTTGAGATGTAGTTTCACTCTTGTCACCCAGGCTGGAGTGCAATGGTGTGAGTCGCAGCAACCTCCGCCTCCCGGGTTAAAGCCATTCTTCTGCCTTAGCCTCCCGAATAGCTGGGATTACAGGTGTACCACCATGAGCAGCAATTTCTTTTTTTTTCTTTTTCTTTTTTTTTTAACAAAACTCCTTACTAATACCTAGTTAATCATTAATTAGTTTATGGGTTTTGGTTCAACCCCTAACATTTGCAAATCACACAATTATCTCCATTCTGTCACTTATGGAAGCCAGTTTCATTTGTTACCCTGAGAATATGAGACATTCACAATCCAATTCCTGACTACACTTGATTTCAAACAGATCGGAATAAGTTCCAGAATATAAAATATTAACTATTTGGTAGTCATCTTGCAGGTATTTTGTGGGTATGCTCTAATTAAGAAATGCTTCCTTTTCCGAGGAAAACTGCTGAGGTTGCAAGAGTGATTCCAAAACCACAATTCTTAAGAAATCACAAGTTTAACTGAAATCATAAAGATATTTTGTAAAAAAAAGAAATCACTCCTGCTGGTGTTTTATGTATAAACCTTTTTCTAACTTCCAGCTCTCTCATGTTAGGGCACCACAGTAAATAACGTATAGGCACAGTGGCATTTTCTAGTATCATGTCTGGAAATATCTTAAACGGCACCTATAGCAGCATCTAGGGAAACTGAGGCCCAAAAGAGTTGATGTGACTCGTGCAATGACACCAATTTGCTAGCAGAGCCAAGATAAGAACCAAGTTTGGTACTTTTCTGCATCAGTCCTTTCTCGGTGCTGCAGGAGCCTTTTACTTACTAATTTAACCCTAGGGAAGGGTAGACCATCGTGGCATGGTAGAAGCGTGGATATTCATTTTCTAAGGAATGATCACACACCTTTGTCTATTTGCATTTAGTTTCTTTAAAAAGTAACAGCACCTCTATTTGGGAGTGCTTTTAGAAACAAAAGCAGAACATACGAACGTGCTTTTCATTGATGATTTACACTGTGCCGTTATAACGTGCGCAACTTTGTCCCGGGCAACTGGACTTATTTTTAGTGTTATTTTCATCTCCTGCTGCAGAAAACTAGAGATTCCCCTACCCGCACCTGCATTTCACACAACAGTACTTGTCTCTTCTCCTCCTTCACTCCTAATAAAAACACCTTATCCCGTTTCTTCCTGTCTGCTCTGCCTCGTCTCAGCAGTCTTACTTATTAACTTCCACCACACTGAAAGAAAACGCACCCTCTCACCCTCACTCTTACGCCACCTTCAGGAAGCTTCTTCCTTTTCCGTCTCTCGCTCGCTTTTGTCTGCCTCTAGGTCACTTTTGTCTCGCGCGGTTTCCGGAACACGGCCCGGAACTACAGCGAAAACACACTGCGTACGCGCGCTCTATCTTCGCCGCTGTGCGGCTTCTGTTTGATTGGCCAGTTCATTACAATTTCCGATTCGGGGGCAGCTGCGCGGCAGCAGGTCTCGCGACATTGCTGCGGCCCGGCAAGCGCAGGCCACAGCAGGGTTCTAGCGCGCCCATTCAGTTCCGCCTGCCGCCGGCACCGGTGTGTTACCCGGAACTGCCGGGCAGAGCAGCATGACGTCCGCCTTGGAGAACTACATCAACCGTATCCTCAAGGTTGCCGCCGCGGGCGTGAGCCGGGGTTACGGAGACACAGCCAGTCAGGATCGGTGGGAGGTTGGGAGACCCGACCGCGGCGGGATCTTGGGGGCGGGCGAGGGGAAGAGGACCCCGGAACGACCCATAGTTTACCGGCGGCTGCTGGAGCCTGCAGCTGCTGCGGGCCCAGGGGTCCTTTCCTTGTCGCCTGCAAAAGCCGGATAAAAACCCAGTGTGATTATTCCGAACTTTTCTCTCTTGAAAAAAAAAAAAAAAAAAAAATACGTTCTTGATTCTTCTTTACTATTTCCATAAGACTTACGTGTTCAGGTTTATAAATAAGATGAACAGTCGTCCGGGCGGCGACAGCAGTTTTAAAAATCTTTGTCTTGTTTTATTCATATAATTTGCTCATTAGTTTGAGGATAGCAAAAAGTTTAACGATGGTTCACAGACCAGGTTTCAGTCCCTTTACCACTTGAAGTCTCAACTTATTGGTAGAATGAAAAAAATGCTTGCTGTTGTATTGGATTGTAGTGAGCAGTAAGTAACAAAAAACCGCATGGGAAGTCTTAAAATAGACTTTGCAAGTGTTACCGTTTTAAAGTCTCAGGACAGAAGCACGACATTGTGCTCATGTACAAACTGGATGACAAATTAAATACCGAATGCTTTTAATCATGTGGGCATTATTGGTATCTTGTGACACTGATTATATAGTTTGTTTGCTTTTTTAATTAAAGAAGACTGTCCTGGAAGACAGTTTTTTAACATGCTTGAAAATGGTCCAACACAGATTAATTTAGTAGTCATTCAGTTTTCATTTTAGAAATGAAGAAATAGACCTTAGAAACAAAATATCCTGCCCAAAAATCATAATTGGCAGCATTCCTGATAGAAAAGTGTCAAAAACCCAGGATTTTTTTTTTTTAGTTCTGTAGTCTCTTTATTTTATTTACTTTATTTTTATTTTTAAAGAAGAAAAGAAAGAGAAAAAAGGAGTGAAGGAGAAGAAGAAAGAGGAAGAAAAAAAGGGAGAGAAAACAGGAATATTGCTTTATTCTAAAAAATGGGTATTAATAATGGCTGGTCAATATTTTGTGTATTTAAAGTGAAGAATGTATATTTTGTGTATTTAAAATGGAGAGCTCTATAAATATTGATTAAGTTTACTTGTTCCAGATCTGTGTTCAAGTCCTGGCTGCCCTCATCAATTTTCTGTCTCGTTGAGTCTAAATCTCTTTATAGGTCTTATGTATCTGGGTGTTAGGATCGTTAGCTGTTATTGTTACATTGATCCTTTTACCACTATATCTTTGTTGCTTTGAAATCTATTTTATCAGACGTGAGAATTGCAACTCCTGCTTTTTATTTATTTATTTATTTTTGCTCTCCATTTGGTTGGTAAATCTTTCTCCATCCCTTTGTTTTGAGTCTTTGTGTATCTTTGGATGTGAAATGGGTCTGGATGTAGCATACCATTAGGTTTTGGCTGTATCTTTTGATTGGGGGATTTAGTCGACTTAAATTTAGGGTTACTGCCATTTGATGTTAACTGGCTATTTTATCCATTCGTTGATGTAAATTCTTCTTTATGTTGATGCTCTTTACTTTTTTGGTATATTTTTAGAAAGGCTAATACTGGTTGTCCCTTTCTATGTATAATGCTTCTTTCAGAAGCTCTTGTAAAGCAGGCCTGATGGTAATAAAATCTCTGAGTACTTGCTTGTTCAAAAAAGATTTTATTTTTCCTTCAATTGTGAAGCTTAGTTTCTCAGAATATGAAATTCTGGGCTGAAAGTTCTGTTCTTTAAGGATGTTGAATATAGGCCCCCACTCTCTTCTGGCTTGTAGGGTTTCTGCTGAGAAATCTGCTGTAAGTCTAATAGGCTTCCCTTTGTGGGTGACCTGACCTTTCTCTCTGGCTGCCCTTAGTATTTTCGTCTTTGTTTCAACCTTGGTGAATCTAACAATTATGTGCCTTGGGGTTGCTCTTCTTGAGGAATATCTTTGTGGTGTTCTCTGTATTACCTGGGGTTGAATATTGTCCTGCTTTGCTAGATTGGGAAAGTTTTCCTGAATAATATCCTGAAGAATATTTTCCAGCTTGGATTCATTCTCTTCGTCGTATTCAGGTACATCTATCAAACGTAGATTAGGTCTTTTCACATAGTCCCATATTTCTTGGAGACTTTACTCTTCCTTTTTATCCTTTTTTCTCTATTCTTGTCTTCTCATTTTATTTCATTAAGTAGGTCTTTGACCTCTGATATCCTTTCTTCTGCTTGATCAATTCAGCTATTCAAACTTGTGCATATTTCGCTAAGTTTTCGTGTTGTATTTTTTAACTCCGTTACTTCATTTATATTCCTCTGTATATTGTCTATTCTTGTTAGCATTTCGTCAAACCTTTTTTCAAAGTTTTTAGTTTCTTTACATTGGGTTAGAACAAGTTCTTTTAACTCCCAGAAGTTTCTTATCATCCACCTTCTGAAGCCTACTTCTGTTAATGGCACACAGTCCTTTTCCATCAGGGCTTGTTCTGTTGCTGATGAGAAACTGTAATCTCCTGTAGAGGAAGAGGTGTTCTGATTTTGGGTATTCTCAGCCTTTTTAAGCTGGTTTCTTCCCTTTGTTATAAATTTATCCATCTGTCATCTTTACAATTACTGCCTTTCTAGTTGGGTTTCTGAGTGGACGTCCAGTTTATTGATTCCCACCGCTGGAATCTGAGCAACCCACTGTACCGGCCAAAACAGCGGCATTAAGACTGATGGTGCTCTTCTGCCTGGGAATCTCCTCCCGTTTATTCTGCACGAAGAGCTGCCATGACGAGGCGCCGGCAAAACTGCTGCGCCGGCCACAAGAGTCACGCTGGCGACCCGTAGGGCTCCTTCACTGGGAATCTTCTGGTCCGTGAGTGACGAAAATTCATCTGAAAGTGTGGTGTCCTCTCATTCTCCGTGCTTTCACTGGGAGCTACAATCCTGAGCTGTTAGCGACCAGTCATCTTGGATCTTCCTGCCTTGGCGTCCCAAAAACTTGTAACGTTTTTATGTAGTGAACTTAGTGGCTATGTTGATCACTTTTACCTAATTGTTGTATATCTTCTAATAATTCAAATCATTACCTTGCCAGAGTCTGTTTTCAGATTGTATTCCCTAAGAAACACTTTCCTTGATTCAGTTATCAGGAACTGTTGCTGTTATTACATCTGACGGGAGAATGATTGTGGTAAGTCTTCCAAATTTTCATTCTCTGCTTTCCTGTACGTTTATGGGTTGCAGGTTTTATGTGAAACCTCTGATCTCTAATGCCTAGACGCCACATTACACTGGTAGTGCAGTTTTATTATTTAACTATCACTTTGCTGTCAATCCACATTTTCCTTAGTAAACCTTGTGTCTTACCTACAAGGCTTCTAGGAGCTAGAATAATAGATTCTGCCATCAGAGAGCTCCTAGTCTGCAGACATGTATTAAACCTACTTATCTCCCTCTTCCATTTTTATTTTCTTCCCCATTCAGTACTACATGAATCAGAATTTTTTGAAATTTTGCATACATTTAGGAACTTTTTTGTGATTTAGATACTATTGATACCTACCTATCAACGTTTAAGGCTTGTATGCAATCTTAATACTGTTTGCTTTTAGGTTGTATGACATGTCTTCTATAGGACACTTGATGATTGACTCTCTATATACACATATATATGTTCAATTGGCTTGTTTCTTAAAGTTGTTTCTCCCTTGCTAATTTATGTCATCTAACAAAGATAAAACATTCCTATGGCAATACTTGTATTTGGAATTTCATTTGAGGAATTTATCTCAAGATATTTGGGTGCTTGCTTATTTCTTCACTTACAATTAATACACTTAATTCTTTTGAAAGAATTTTAAGGCTACTAAACTTTCTCTGTTTTCTAACCTTACCTAGTTTCTTAAATAATTTAATCCCCTATTTTTCCATTCTGCAATTTTGTTTTTGTTCATTTTCTTTTTAAGCCTTGCGATTTTTTCCCCTCAGTGGGTCCTTAGTGACTGTTAATAGTCAAGGTTCTAGCTTTGTCATTTACTAAATTTATATCATGTGCCAGGTGCATATGTGCTACATTATTTAATGTACAGCACAACCTTGTGAAGAATAAGTACCCCTCTATTCTAGATTAGGAAACAAGCTCAGAGAAGGTGAGATACTTTCCCAGAGTCACAAGGATAGCAGGTGACAGAACTGAACTGGGATTTAAATTTGGTTTGACATCAAAGCCAAGGCAAATTGCCTGGCTTCTTTCTTAAAATTATATCTGTTAAAATCATGTTTTCTTAGGTGCCTCACATTGTATTTTTTCAAATACGGACAGTTTGACATATTTTAATCGCAACACTTCAAGAAGCCTATTGCTATTAATAGATATTTTCAATTTTTTTAATTTTGTGAAAACCTTAACTTTAAATTTTCTAATTTTTGTTAACATAGTAGATAATAAACTGGGAAATCATTTTTAATTTTAAAAAAGGAAAGCAATATAAAAAGAGCATCTTAAGTTCTAAAGTTCAATAGTTCTTTTTTCTTTGACACATAGTTTATTTGATGGGATAGTTATGTGTAAAATGAAGCCAGGAGGTTATGAATGGGTGTTTATGATAACCATTTGTTAAATAGTTCAAGAAAGACTTCATATTTTCTCTTCCAAATTATAGTTTTCTTTTTATTTCATTCTCATTTTATATATTTTGGTTTTCAGAAGATAAAAGTTTAGTAGCTTGAGAGATTTAACCAATTAAAATCAATGTTAGTTGATACTTCTTCAGAAACTTGGATACCATCTGAGTTAATCTGTTGTGCTAGACCCATGTCTTTTTTTATTCAAAACTAAGCTTTCATAAAACCTTCCCTGATTATTTCCTTCAAATTCTTGTTCTAATTAGTTTAGTCACATTTGTATCTACTGGGAGAATTAAATAATAAATGTATTTGTTATGCATTAAATAATACCTGTGAGACACACAGAACTCTGGTAACTAGTAAGAACTCATTAGGTGTTACCCGTAACTACTAGTTAAATTTTTTATGTATTTATGGGACTGATTTGATTCTCTGAAAAATGGCAAATTATATTTACTTGTGTATAATAGTAGAAGGTAATGGTTTAGTGGTCTGGCTCAGGAGCTAGCCTTTCGTGGTTCATCTCCTGGCTCTGCTACTTACTGCCCATGTGACCATAAGAGACACCACTCTGTGCCTCAGTTTCTTCTTTGAAATGGGACTAATTATAGTATTAAAGGGTAGAGATGAGTTGCGACAATATGTACAATGTGTCTAGCACAATACCTAGTGCTAGTATGTAGTATACAGTGATACTGTTACATTACTGTAGTTGGTATGTATGATTCTTCCTTATTTATATAGAGTTACCTATCATTTTATTTTAAATCTCCTTTGTTTTAGTATATACCTTTGGCTGTCGGACTACATGAGCTTTTATGCTACTTACTTGGAAATACACTAGTACCTAGGTGTCCTTTGTAACTGTCATCAGCTCTGCAAATGAGTGAGATGTGTGGTGCAGATCCCTCCACCCCAGCCAAACAGCCAAGGGGTCAATTTTGTATCCTCGAATACTGTTAGTTATAAAAAAGGCATTTTATTTGACATTGTATAGGTACTTATATTGGAGTAACTAATAACTAAAATGATTGTGAGGTTGAATTTACACTTTCAGGTAAACCAGAATATTTCTCTTTTTCTCCTGGATATTTTCTTTACAGGGAACACTAAAAGGTTTTGACCAGACCATTAATTTGATTTTGGATGAAAGCCATGAACGAGTATTCAGCTCTTCACAGGGAGTAGAGCAAGTAGTACTAGGATTATACATTGTAAGAGGTGACAATGTGTAAGTAAAATATATCTGTTAAAATTATAAATGATACTCCCTTGCTTTATGGAGAAGAGGTTTTACCCAGAATAGTCTACTGTATTATCTATACATAGTTAATAGAATCTTGCATTCATTTCTTTTATAAATATGGCTTTTCTTATATTTGCATAAAGTAAGGCAAATCTATACATTTTATGTCAACATTTCTTCAGGTTTCAACCAAAGCTATCTCTACAAATCAAACATTTACCTGAGATTTGCCCATTTTTCCACTAGTTAAATAAGTAGCCTGGATAGAGTCCAGAAAGGGCCCTGCCTTATATTAAATACTTCATTAAAGAGGTTTCTTAAAATGTTCTTAAAAATACCCAGAATTTTAGAGGAACATATTTCTAGAGTCCAAGGCAAAAGTTTGAAAAATGTTTATGAAATCTTTCATTTGAACAATTTTAATACATGCTCAGTCATATAGGTGTATTTATAAACAAGTACTTACCCATTATTTATTTTCTTTTAATTTTTTAGTATATTTGACACACTTAAGATGTCTCTGTGGCCTCAGTTTACTTGGGACAGGCCGTTATAAAAGTTTCAGTGTAGTTGGCTGGGCATGGTGGCTCATGTCTGTAATCCCAGCACTTTGGGAGGACAAAGCAGGCAAATCACCTGAGGTCAGGAGTTTGATCTGACCAACCTGGCCAACGTGGTGAAACGCTGTCTCTACTAAAAATACAAAAATTAGCCAGGCGTGGTGGTGTGCACCTGTAGTCCCAGCTACTCAGAAGGCTGTGGTGGGAGAATCACTTGAACCCGGGATGTGGAGGTTGCAGTGAGCCAAGATTGTACCACTGCACTCCAACCTGAGTGACAGGGTGAGACAGTCTCTCAAAAAAAAAAAATGCTGAATTTGGTGACTCATGCGTGTAATCCCAGCAGTTTGGGAGGCTGAAGCGGGTGGATCACTTGAGGTCAGGTGTTTGAGACTAGCCTGGGCAACAACATGTCTCTAGTAAAAATACAAAAATTAGCCAGGTGTGGTGGCACAAGCCTGTAATCCCAGCTATTTTGGAGGTTGAGGCAGAAGAATCGCTTGGACCCAGCAGGCAGAGGTTGTAGTGAGCCAAGACTGCACCACTCCATTCCAGCTTGGGCAGCAGAGCAAGACTCCTTCTCAAAAAAAAAAAAAAAAGTTTAAGAGTGATTTAAAGGTAGCGATTTAAGAAAAGCCTGTAACAGTATAGAGCACTGTTGTCCAAAAGAACTTTTTATGATTATGGAAATGTCATATATCTGCATTTTCCAATACAGTAGCCCTAGCCATGTCTGGGTGTTGAATATTTGAAAAGTGGCAGATGTGGGCCGGTGCAGTGGCTCACGCCTGTGATCCCAGCACTTTGAGAGGCCGAGGCGGGCAGATCATCTGAGGTCAGAAATTCGAGACCAGCCTGGCCAATATGTTGAAACCCTGTTTCTACTAAAAGTACAAAAATTAGCTGGGCATGGTGGTGATGCCTGTAATCCTAGCTATTTAGGAGGCTGAGGCAGGAGGATGGCTTGAACCCAGGAGATGGAGATTGCAGTGAGCCAAGGTTGCGCTGTTGCATTCCAGCCTGGGCAAAAAAAGCAAAATTTCATTTCAGCGTGGAAAAAAAAGAAAAGTGACTGATGTGAGAGAGAAACTGATTTTAAATTATATTTAATTGTAAATAATTTTTTCTTTGAGACATAGTTTTGCTCTTGTTGCCCAGGCTGGAGTGCAACAGTGCAACCTTGGCTCCCTGCAACGGCCACTTCCTGGATTCAAGTGATTCTCCTGCCTCAGCCTCTTAAATAGCTAGGATTACAGGCACAGGCCACTACGCCTAAGTTTTTTGTATTTTTAGTAGAGATGGGGTTTCACCATATTGGTCAGGCTAGTCTTGAACTGACCTCCTGATTCACCCGCTTTTGCCTCCCAAAGTGCTGGGATTATAGGCATAAGCCACTGCGTCTGGCTTTACTTGTAATAGTTACATGTGGCCAATATTAGTATGGTTATATATAGAGGCTAGAAGAACACGGAATGAATTTTCTAGTGAGTACTACATTGAATCAAAATATAGTTGTAAAGAAGCAAAAAGATACATTAGCAATTTTAAGCTAGGATACATTAAGCAAATTTAAGGCTATTCTAGGGGATGGAAAAGTCCCCTATAATAACTTAAATAAAATAAAGAGTGAAGGAATAATTTACTCATTTAAGTTGGTTATGTTAACATCATCTTTAGATGAATAAATATTTTGATCTGTAATTAAAATCAAGAGTTACTAAAATATTATTTTATAGAGATGACTTGGGTGGAGTTACAAGGTGAGCTGTAAGTAATGAGAGAGAGGCAGAGCAGATAGGGCCCCCATCTATGGATCAGAACAACACTGTTTATATTGGGACTGTGCATTAATTGATTTTAAGGTTTCTCTTAGGTAAAACAAATTTTTTTCCTGAACTTAAGTGAAAATGAAAGCAGATTGTTATATTTTAAGGAATTTTTCAAGCTAGTTGATTGATGTCTTATTAGTAGCTTTAAATTGGCCAGGTGAGAGTGTTTGTACAATATTAGTAAATGCTGCAAATCAGGCTCCTGCAGAGAGCTAGTTTTTAAATATTTATCAGCATTCCACTGCTTACCATAGGGATTTTAAATGATACTAAATATTTAAGAGTGGAATTGAGGCCTTTAGTTTATTTTGAGAAAACTTAATTTATTCTGTCAGAGTTGGTATTTTTCATTTGTTAGAGAAGTTAAGTCTTTATGTAGTTTAAAGCAAAATTGGGCAAATTTCTTATTACAAGTATTCGTCTTTAGAATTTGACTGCATGCAGTGGCTCACGCCTATAGTCCCAGCACTTTGGGAGGCCAAGCTTAGTGGAGTACCAGAGGTCAGGAGTTCAAGACCAGCCTACCCAAAATAATGAAACCCTGTCTCTACTAAAATACAAAAAATTAGCTGGGTGTGGTGGGGTGTGCCTGTAAACTCAGCTACCCCAGCTACTCAGGAGGCTGAAGCATTAGAATCCCTTGAACCTGAGAGGCAGAGGTTTGAGTGGGCTGAGATTGTGGCACTGTACTCCAGCTTGCATGTCAAGTGCAAAACTTGTATCTCAAAAAAGAAAAGAACTTACTGTCATTAATTAAAACCAAACAAATGTAAACCCAACAAATGCTTTTTAAAAAATAATATTTCATAGACAACTTGTTGTCTGATAACATTCAATATTTCCATTTAGAGGGCCATGAGTTGGTTATCTAGCATGATATTAATGAATTTCATATTATAGATATTATGTTAGTGTTGAACAAGGAAAAATTTTCTAGCTTTAACCTGAGCCAGTCACTTAAAAAATGATTTGTTAAGTACCAAAGTACTTGTTTCTACCATTGTTTTTATGGTAGTACATGAAGAACTGTACATTTTGGCTTTTGATTTATTTGAAAACTTATGAAAATAATCTAATATATATCATTGGTTATCACTGGTTTAATTTGTCAAAGTTAAATAATAGACACTTTTACTTGCTAATTTTAGGAGTGATTTTGTGAATTTTTTTTTTTTTTACTATAGTCCTAGAATTGAATTGAAATCATAGGATTTGGAAGTTTGGGGGTTTTGTACTATATCTATCCCTGTGTGTCTTTTTCCTTTAAAGATTCATGATACAATCACTATGTATAATATGTCCTTTAATATTGGTTCCTGTAATAATGTTCCTTCAAATTATTTCTTGAATTTTGTGACTTAAATGTGCAGTTCACCGACTCATACCATTGTTGTTTGCTTTGTACCTTAATTAGTTCTTTTTACTGTGCTCTGTTTTGGAAGAATGGTACTCAGTGCTTTGATTAGTAAGATTTTTGAAACACATGTAAATTTATTTCAGAAATGTGATTGTTTTAACTCTGACTTTTTTAGCGCGGTCATTGGAGAAATTGATGAAGAAACAGATTCTGCACTTGATTTGGGGAATATTCGAGCAGAACCTTTAAATTCTGTAGCACACTGAGGAAAAACTACATACTTGGACATCTATAAATCTTTGTACAGAAACTGATTATTCTGAGGATGATGTGTGGAATTTTTATGAATGTGTAACTGGATTTTGACTCCTTATCGATTTATTACAATATGTAAATTAAAATATTTCTGCATTTTATTGAAAAAAATTTTTGCCTAAATCATGTTTGGTAGTTTGGTTTCTTTTATTAAATAGTGTGAAAATATTATGGTCATTTTGGAAAACTTCTAGAAAAAAGTAGTCCTTTTTGATATTTTAGTATTTATGGAAACTAGTGGAAAAGAGAAATTTGTGTGCTACGTAAATCAGGCATTCAAATAACAGTAGTAGTACAGGATATATGTGTTTTCTTTCCCTGATATTTAGGAAAGTCACTGTAAGGTAAATCTTTTCTGGAGTTATTTCAATCAATGACATTTATCCGATTCCACTGGTGGTGGTTTGCTAGTGCTTCTGAAAGTTGCTCCCTAGCACTGAGGTTGGGTAGGTACAAATGTGTTTGCTTGAGAAAAGCTAAAATGCTAACAAGGTTTTAATAGACTGGGCCAAAATTCCAACTTGAATATTAAGGATGACTAGGAATAGTAGAATTGACAGAGATGATTGGTAAAGTCTCTTGATACCCAGTTGGTTAGGTATGAAAGTAATATGAACACATTAATGTTGAATTTTACGGGCAGTATATTATCTGAATAAAATTGATTCTGTGTAGTCTTAAATTTTTAATTTTTAAGAATTGGAGAATTTTTAATATTAGAGTTATTTATAAATGTGAGTAAATAAACTTTTAAGTTTATACTGAAGTAGTGATAGGCATTATTGTCAGAAATTTTTCATGATTCATTAGTTCCATAAACCTGATTTTATGTAAATGTGACTTAAATGTGCAGTTTAAAATATTCTTACTCAAAATCTTCCTTGTAAAGGGAGACGCACTATCCCTTGAATTACTTGGTTGATGTTAAGGGCTGTTTCTGGGAGGACTAAAGAAGTTGGCTAATACTGACTATTCATAAATACTTGGCATTTGTAGTATAATGTTTTATAATCAATTTAATAATGAAATGATGCAAGGTGGGTAAGGCAAACAGGCAAATTTAAGTAGGGACTGTGAATGAAATATTTTATTTTAGTATATGGCATTTTTAATTGGTAAAATAATTCTAAAAATCAAATAAGAATACACATCAATCAGTTGCTAAGAAAAATGCATTCTAACAGTACAAATGAAGTCGAGTCAGATCTTTTCTCAAAATACTTGACATATCAACACAAATTACACATAAACAAGTAAATAAAAACCAGTCTTGGCCCTCATGATAATGGGTTTCTAATGTGATGTATTCTTAAAATCTGAAACACTTTATAAAGCTGTATTTTCCTGTTGATGTTGGAAAAATGTTCCCAAAATGTAAATTACTGTTTTCATGAATGGTTGTGAAGGATGTGAATGGTAACAGGCCAGATGATCTATGTAATTTTTTATTCCTGGATACGTGCACATGGTAGACTTTATGCTCACAGCGAATTTATATTGGATTTATTTTTGCCTGAGAATTGTAAGGGAGCCACAACCATGAGTAGTAACATAATTAATATACAGTGACAAGATTTTATATTTAATGCAACATTTATTCTGTAAGCAGTTCTTATTTATAAAGAGGCTCAAATCAATTTCAACCTGTAATTACCTCTGTGCTTTGTGACTGGAACACAATCTAAATCCAGCTTAATGAATCAAAGAGATGTTTCTTGGCAAGATATTTTCATTAACGTTATTTGGAAAGGGCAATTAACTGCAAAAAGGACGTTTTATTTTTCTTTTTAACCGACAAGATACTATCTAAAATAAAGCTCTTTGATAACTTGGCCTCACATGCTGACGGTTTGGGCTTAAATATTATAAATCTTGATCGCAGAAGAGTAAGAGAGAAAGTTTTACTAATATTTTCTTAAATATCCTTTGTAATACCTTTATAATATCCTTCTGAATTTTTAAGCTAATAATGTAAGATACAAGTATGATAAAAACAATTTTTTAATGGTACTTAACACAAATACAGAATAACAGTGTCAGCATTTTTCTCAGCCATCTAAACCTAATATTCATCATGTGAATGAGAAAGTAAGGTCCCTTTATATGGCATGTGAACCAGACCGTTTAGTAGCCAGGATTGTAAAGCAACTCTTAACTGACAGTATAGTATATTCTGGGCCTTCATCTTCAAACTTAGTAAGTAGCATTTATTGAGTGCATATCATGTGCCAGGCCTGATGCTGAGTGCTTACAATGACCATTTTTTACATGGGAAAATTGAGGCTCAGCAGGGTCAAACACTGTAGTATATTCTGGGCCTTTATCTTCAAAATTAGTAAGTAGCATTTATTGAGTGTGTTTCATGTGCCAGGCCTGATGCTGAGTGCTTACAATGACCATTTTTTATGGGAAAATTGAAGCTCAGCAGGGTCAAGTACCTTATAAGAGGTAGCACTAGTAAGTAACAGGGCTCAAATTCAACTTTCAATTCTTTATACAATACTGCCTGTTATCAGTAAGTATAGTCTCAAAATCTGTCAAGCATCCATCAGAAGCCTGATGATAGATGATCTAATGCAGTTCCCAAAGCCACATTGTAGGCCATTTTCATCATAATTACCTAAGGTGCCTTAATAATATTCTTGGGCCCTACTCATTGATGTGGCTCAGCAGCACTGTAATGAAGCAAAAAGGAATAGTCACCAAACAGAGAAGGAAAGCATGGAATTATTAAAAGACCTAGCAAATATATGTTGGGATGAGTCTCTAACCCCACAGAACTGAATTCAAACACAGAATCTTATTCAAGATAAGGATAATAACATCTATCTTCTTGGGTTGCAAAAAGTAACATTGGACTGCATTTTCAACACTTGGTATGATTTTGAGGACATAATTAATGGTAAACAGCTATTTAATACTATTCTAGATATTCAAAGGCCATTGTATAAAAGTTAAAATATAGGTCTTGTCAGCTTAGCTTTTTAAGAGTCTGTCCCACTGACTACCATATCTCTACTAGAGAAGGAATATTTAAGTTATAAAGAGTTCAGGTTATGTGGAAAATATGTATAAGTTTACACTATTTTAACAAATGTACAGTAAAATGTGTTTCTATGTCATCATACATTCTTGGTTCAAGGAGTTTGAAAGTGTAAACCTAGGTCTTTCACATGCCAAGAGGAACCTCTCCATTCTGTACTTGTATAGTCATTACCTTATTTTATAGATTTACTTATTTTAAATTTAATTTTTCTTATTTGGGGCTTCAAGTAAGCTTGGGCTATGAATCTCAGTTTTAAGTTACAGGGAAATTTGATAAAAATTGCTTTCTGTCTACAAATAATACTAAAAAAAATATTGACAAGGTAAAGCTATCTCCATTTAGATTGATACTTATTAAATAGCATTGTGGTCTCATTAAACCAGCGACAAATTCGTTTAATTATAAGATGCCAGAACTTATGCTCCATCCTGTTTATAGGGATTATCGATGTGAAATTTGGTCAGATGCTTTGATGTGATCTTCATTCCTCTGTATAGCGGGAAACTATGAGACATGGGGTTAGTCTTTGTGAATCATTGCTGCCTTCTAGTGGCCATTGCTTTCTTTTCTTCGTGTCCACATACTTAAAAAAAAATAGATTTTGGAATTTTGTCAGGGACATTTATCAAGCTGTTAATACACGCCAGGCACTGTGCTCAAAACTGTGGATAAGCCAGGGAACAGTATTCTTGTCCTTGCGATGTGTCTGTCTGTATCTACCTTAACGAAATCATCTTGACTCAGATTTACTGTCCAAGGGCATGTGTTACTTCATCAGATTCTTTCAGTATTCTAGGATATTATTTATGGGTTCTGGATTCATTCAAAACAACTAGAAATGGTCTTAAAATGAATGTAATTCATATCAATCATTTTCCCCATCTATTTTTTTTTAAGATTGCTAAGTGTGTAAGTTGTGTAATTCTAAGGATAAAGGCAAAATAGCACTTCACCAGTAGAGTTTTCTTTCATTAGTTAACAGTATGCCATCTGCTTCCTAGTGGCATCATTTGGGGAATGAAGGAGCTGAGAATCATTCTTACATGATATCTTTCAGACCTCTTCTTGGTTTTGACATTAATTTTTTTTTTTAATCCAGTTTTTGTGTTAGTTTTTTGTTATGCCTTTTTACTCCCTTATTTTTTTATATTTCTTTTTTTAAAGTCCTTTTATCTTACAGAGTATTACTTGTCAGAAGTGGCACAGATCAAGCATTGCTACAACTAGTATCAAAGTCCCATCGATGTCCCTTCAATGATAGTCCTCTCTTTAGGGTAATGTTCAATTATACTGTAAACATTTTGCTTTTATGGTTTTTCTTTCCCACATGTACTAGCTTTACAAATGCCATATTAGAATGGTACCAAATTGTTACTACATTTGAAATAAGAATAATCCAGGAGTCAGGATGGGTGGGAGACATCTCCAGGGGACACAATACATTGTATCATGTATTAACTGGTGTGTGTTGGGGTGGGGAACAGGCAGGAAACTAATGTATTTCTGTTTGATATATGAAAATATGCATAAGCTATCTTACGTTTCATCTGATGTGCCTCATCAAGAAAATTATTATAATAAATTATACTCTAGAAAACTCAATAATTGATACAAGTTGCCAGAAAATGCTGTACTGTGGCTTATATAACATTTTAAAATAAATAACCTGAAAGTCATCACAATGATAGTTAAAAGTTAATTTTTTTAATTTTAAAATTAAAAATTGTATTTGTAAAAGTATTTAGCTCTCTCAATCTGAGGAAAAGTATTTAGCTCTCTCAATCTGACTTGCATAACATTTATTGCAATTGTGCTTCTGCCAATTACAGAGACAATTCAATTCACACTAACAGGAGGTATGAATTTTAAAAGGAAATTGTAAATTAGAGTCTCGGGCTAGTCCAGTATAGCATAGCAGTGAAAGGCACAGGCTCTGGAGTCCAGACTTAGTTTGTAGAGTTTAGCATATTAATCTTCTCATGTCTTGGGATGAAAATGAGTACCTGCCTCCTTGTACTGCAAAGATTAAAATAAGCAGTTAGCATTCCCTAGAACATTAATTTGTCAACGTTAATTATAGCTAACAATTATCCTGATACTGAATGATGGACTCCAGATTATTTATTTTGGCCTAAGAAAAGTACTAAGAAGTAGTTAATAGCATTCCTTGATAAATTTGATGAAAAAACCCCTGAAAATTCTGGACAGACCTAGAAATTCATTGGAAATGAAAGTATGTTTCCCTTGTGCAAAGGTAATATTTTTATCACATTGTTTAAAATTTAAAATTTGATCAATTAAAAAAAAATAACACGAGGCAGAGAAAGAACAGAAAGGAGCAACCAAAATCAAAGTGATTAAATTATATAAAGATTAGATTTCTTTAGTGTGAAAGATAAATGGGAAATGGGAATACGCCAGAGATCTGAAATGAAGAATGGATAAGAGCTTGCATATTTAATTTTGTATATTGAAACCAAATATTCTATGAAGATTGGAAGGATAATTTAGGTCAAATGAAATTCTGCGTTCAAAAAAGAAGAATAAACCTGAGCAACTCATTAGTAATCCTTCATTTCCTATTTACTTCATGACAACTGTAACAGAGATGACATGCCCAGTAAAGTGGTGTTTGAAGGCAATATGTAAGTGTCCCATGCATGGCAAGGATGCAAATGCTTCTATGCATAGCAATGTGGGAGAGCTTGGAGGAGAATCTTCATGGAAATGGATGACTTGTGCTGGACCTTAGGGATGGTACGGATTTCCAAAGATGGTTGGGAAAACTTCAGATTGGCAGACAGGAAGGCAGGAATGAGTAAGATGTGGTTGAATAATGAGTAGGCTGACCTCTCCATATAGTAAACACTCAAATCCTTTATATTCCAAAGAAAGGACTTGTCCTTCACCAGTTCCTGGAAGAAAACCTCTTGAGTCCTTGGGATATCTTACCTGTGAAGAGTGCTTTTGTATGCCTTAGACCATGGGCTGTGTTGTTACTAGTTTAAGCTCTGGGAAACTGGAGATTCAGTAGCTAAGGTCAGTTATGAGGGAGTTGAATATTTATGTGACTGAACCCTGAACCCTATCTCTTGTTAGCAATACTTTCCATGTGTTGGCAGACACTGTTGCTGAATTGGGTGCTGTCTATGCAGCTCCACTGGGAGAGGAAGTTTGTGCTTCATTTCTCCTGATTTTCACCTTGCACCTTTTCCATTTACTGATTTTAATCTGTATCCTTTTACTAGAATAAATTATAACTGGGAGCATAGCAGCTTTTCTGAGTCTTATGATTCCAAATGTATCATTAAACCTCAGTATGATCTTGGGGACCCCCAACTCAATAAATTTTTCATTGAAAATTAATGAGAAAAGAAGGGAAAGGATGGCCTTCATTACTAGTGTAAAGTTAATACTTTATTCTTAGAGCAGCAAGTTGTTTTTATGGGATTAAAAATGTAAGTTGTGTTAAAGGAACATTAATTTGGATGCATTGAACAAAACAGGTAGCCTGAAGGACAAACGCAGATTATTTCAAGATAGGAAGCTATTGCAGTGATAAAACAGCTGATACATTTTCAGGTCAGATTTTCAGGCATGATAAAAGGTGGAAGTACAGATTTCAAAAGATGTATATAAATTTATGGAAAGGAAATTTTTGAATGGTGATTCTAACCTTTAAGGTTCATGCCAAGGAAGGAAAACAACTAATTTTTCAACAACCAGTTCAACAATGATAGGCACCAAATGCGAGACACTGCTAAGTGCTGGGAATTTAGATCTAACCAAAGACTTACAAGATACTAGTCTTTAAGACAGGCTTTAAGAAATTCAAGTGTAGGGTAAGGCTACCTCCTCAGCAAATAAATACTGGCATGGTGAAGATAGTATTGGGTGATACGAGAGCATATAGGAGAGATAGCTAGAGTTTAATAGCAACACTAGGCTGGACTGAGTGGTGAATGGGTTGATAGAGCAATTTAATTATAACTGTGTTATTGTCAATGTAGGCATTTTGCTCATAGCTTCGGGTAAGTGAGAAGAGACAAAGCTTAACGAAGGACTGGATATTTTAGCTTGACAGCAGTGTCTAAATTACAGTTTAGAAAACTAATACCAGCCATACCAAAGACAATTATCTGGAAATGCCTTTCCTAAGTGCCAACAGGTAAGTAATGAAAATATAATTAATAGCTTTAAGTGACCCCATGGATCTTAATGCCTTTCAGGCAACACGTTTTTCTGACTTCCAAGCATAAACAGTCTAAGCATTGTGCAGTAGTCATGAAGGATTAGGTATCCAAGTGCACATTATATTAGTTTTGTACAGTCATTGGAGGGAGTAATAGTTTCAGAATCATGAAATGAATCATAAGTAGCTGCTCTGGTGCTCTCTAGAGGCAGAACTTTCTAAACCTGAAGACTTAATGGTGCAGCTCTGAATGGTCCAAGTGAAAAACCTCTCAGCCCTACATAGCATCTTTGAGAAAGCTTTAATTTTGGTTTTTCAGAGCAATATTCACATGACATCTTTAGGGTCTGTAATCTTATTACCATTAGGTTAGAACTCTACCCAAACTAAAAATAAGTGGCCTCTATCAAGTTGAAATTACTTTAATATTTTCATTTAGGTTTACACTGTTTATTTAAATACAGAGAATGTGGCTAACCAGGACCATTTAATTATCAAATTATTAATGATTTTTACATAATTAAACATAAACTGTCATATTTGTTAACTTATATTTCATTCTGTGGAATTCAAATTTAATTGATAAAGCACAATGTACTTTATAGTAGTTTATTCCGTAAGTGTTTGAGTTTACACTTTTTTTCTCCTGTAACAGACTCTATTCCCAAGGCAATCAACATTTTAATGGAACAAATTGAAGATTGTAATTGCTAATGTTATTTTCCCATCCTAGTTTCTACTTGTTTCTTATAATAAAGGAAGTTTCCAAATCTTGACTTCGATTGGCAATTAATGGGCAGAATTTCCCCTTAGCAAACACTTTTCACATGTACACTAATATTAGTATCTAAATTACATTAAAATCTCTGTAATTTGGTAGTAATTGACTTGAAATTCGTGATGTTTCAGCTTGGGCTAGGTTGTAGTTTTGCTTTGTATCACTCATAAAGAGTTACTAAAAATGCAGAGGGCAAATTGGATATAATGATAAGAATAAACCTTTAATGAACTTTTAATATGCAGTACTAATTGTAACTAACCATTATCTTTACTGAATCAGGAGATGTTTCATTAACTGTTAGCAGTTATTTTGAGTTATTTATATATCATAGAACTTTGAACTGAAAGGTAAAGATCATCTAGCTGAATTTCCTTTATATTAAAGAAGAGGAGAAAAAGTTTAATACTAAATATGTGCAAGCCTGGAGCTGCCATGGCGCATGTAGAGAGAGTCTCCTGGATGATACTGACTCAGGAAAGCAGAATCAAGCAATAAAGAAACATTTTTGGCCTGATGACATCATTTCAGTACCTAGATCCAGCAATGCCTGAAGATGTGACTTGAAGACTTTTAACTTAACATGAGCCAAAAATGTTCCTTTGCATAAATAAATTGCTCTGTGACACATTTTATAATGTACAGCCAAGAATCATAATATTTATTATTTTCCATTAAATATCAGTAAGTTCTATATGAAAATCTCAGTAAAATTCATTAATTTGAGAATGTGTCTATATCATACTTAAGTTTTAAACCTAAACTCTAAATTCTACTTATTTGAAAGATAAAATTACTGGTCATTTTCATGTATATATTTGTGGTAACACCTTAACATTTTCCCTGTAAGGGGACCTTTTGTGTGTTTCTGTTTCCATCAAGCAGCCTTTGAATGCAAATTTATCTTCTGGGTTTCCCTATTCATAAGTAAGAGTTTGGCCCTAGTTCACAAGTAATCTTTTAGCACAGTACCCAGGCTACTATTTTTTGTTTGTCATCCTTTTGCTTTCACAATTTGTCTATGATGTTTGGTGACTCATATTTTCCATTTAATTAAAATAAGGAAAGAGGAAAGTGACATTATCATATGGAAAAAACAAATGGTTTCCCAACTATAACCAGCAGACTATAGTGGCAAAATATACTGCTTGAATGCCATTGGCCAGATCTTTTTCACCCTAACTAAAAGCGGGGCTAGGAAGGTGAGGGATTTTTTTTTTTCCTTTTATAGTGACATTTTGCCAGTCCAAATAAAAAAAGGGTTGCTGTTAGGAAAACGGGAAGAATGGGGATGGGGTGGACAACCAACGATGCCTGCCATTGTGATGGTGTAGAAGCAAGTATCTCAGAGGCAGGTGAAAACACTTCTATGTCCAAACAGGATTGTTTTTATATCTCTGATATAAAATGCAGGATATGAATTTTAATAAAATTCCCCAGGTGAGTCATATGCACATTAAAGTTTGAGGAGCACTGATCTATACTGTCTGTCTACACACTTCTTTACCTTACTTTATCCTTTGGGATTCTGGCACTGAGTCCCTTCCTATCAGTCTTTAAAAACTGTAACCATAAGTCAGTAGGGATATAGAAGACATGAACAGTACTTTCATCCATCTTGACCTAGTTGCCATTCATAAAAATTCTATCCCAATACATCAGAATATATATTCTTCTTAAACATTTAATGAAAGGATTTAACTCTCAAACTCCAAAGCAGGTTGTTGTAAAAAGACTTATTAAATAATCTTAAAAAAGAGATTTTAAATTGTGCACGAGAAATGCTTATGAGTACAGAATTATGGGGCCCTCTGAATACTAATTTAAAATAAGAAATATAAAACCCCTTTAAAACTCACATAATTTTCCCATTTCCCTTAAAGAAGATACTAATATCTCTGATATCACATAGGAGTAAAAATTGAGGGGAGGTCCTAATATCCAATATTAATAGAGCTATGATTATTCAAGCTTTAAACTTAAATTTTTAAAATAGAGCCATGGTTGTTCAGTAGAGATTAATATCTAAATAAGGAAAATGAAGAA